TCCTTTTAAACAAGTTTTTCTTATTTAAAGTTTCTTGTTTCTTGAAGTTTTGTGGTCTGGGAACAATGAAGACGATACGTAAAATAATCAATTAAAATTTCAAATATCAATTTAATGAAATAAAACTCAATAAACTGATAGCATTAGCTAACAATGCTCAACATAATTAGAAGTTCAAACGTATGAAAAGCGACCTTATCAATGATATATTTCTCTGCAAAATAGCAAATATCAAAACTGCGATATAAAATACAGAACCATGAATGTCTTATATTTATGTGAAACTGTCAACTTCACAAGGCAAGTTGCATATTCTTAATGTTAAAAAATAACAAAATAAAAATAATTCTAATAAGCGATATCGCTTCCATAAAACCAGGCCTTAATTTCTAAAATTAAAAGTGACGGAGCCTCACGGAAGACCGTCAGAAAAGAGGAAAAAAATAAATAAATAAATAAAATGACTAATAAAATAATTAGTAATTTAAAATTAAATAACTAATCATTAAAATAATTAAATGATTAATGGAAATATAAAGTTCAAAATCGAATTAAGTAATAAAATAATTAAAATTTGATAAAAATGTAAGGAGATAAATTAAATAAGCAATTTTTAACATAATGTTATTACTATAAATAAAATTTTTGAGTCCGGCTAGAATTTTGATTTATCCAAGATGCTAAGAAGTACCGGAGAGGAGCTGTTGTGGGCTCCGGTGCAATTTAAGCTTTACATAAAACATTATAATCACAACTCACCTATGCGTCGGAATTAAAATAAAATAATCTAGAAATTATTTTTGTATTTTTTTTCGCTGCTGTTCACGCGCGAGTTCCAAGTCAGTTAAACTTGGTTAGAGAGATTGAAGGCCTTCAACTTTTCATCATCTCCCAAGCATGTTTACATCTTGATTTTCTTGCATTATTTTTAATCTGTTATTCTACATATTGTCGTGCATTATTGTCCTCAAGATGGAAAGAACTTTTGAAAATGTCCTGCAGATCTTTGACACTTATTATCGTCAAGACGTGCCTTTATAGTAACCATATAACTTGTCGTAACAGCCAAGTACTCAGTAAAATGGGCTATAAAAGCAGAAAAGTACTGTACACAAATATATTGAATCACTGGTAGGATAGAAGTCAAATTCTAATTTAGAATTGTACAAGTGCTTCGTCCAGAACGTAGAAATATCAAATTAGTTCATAAATTTTTATTCTAATAACGATTACCGTTACGAAATGGCAACAATTTCTGTGCCAAGTGCATGAGAAGTTTATTGGCTTGTCAATTAGTTACAGAAAAAGCGCTCCAGAACTCACTGCAAAGTAAAGCGATTCTTTCATGGATGGCTAGCTAGGAGTCAGGAAAGGAATATACATAAGGAAAACCATAAACTATTTCGGATCCACTCATTCATTTGCTGCAGGCAGATTCAGGATGAATTGTTAATGTTCTGAGGCATGCTCACTAGTACGTTCACGTGAAATTTGATTAAGAAAGATTATCTTTACAAAATTTCAGTGAAAGCACTGGGGCGAGTCTTAATGAGATGTGTAAACTATAATTCTTTATTTAAGGGAATATAATAAAATGTGCTAATATTATATTAGATTTTTCCTTTTGCTAGTAAATTAAAAAACCCTGGAAAAGAAACACAGCCACGTCTATCGATTTTGAATTTTATATGAGGACACCCTATAACGTCTTATGCGACTCTTAATAAGTATCTTAGCATATCTTTTATTCTCTAAAAAAAGTGAAAGAGAGTTTTAAAGTTTTCAACGCAAAATGCCAAATCGAAATTAATAGCCGTTCTGGCCTAGCGCCCTTTGGGCTAATAAATAGTACAAACAGCACAATAATGGCTGGAAACAACTCAGGAAGAGGATGTTTAGTTATTCCTCCTTAGCAAACGAAATCGTAAAGTTCTTCAAATCATTCTAAGGGTAAACCCTACTAATGCAGCTAACCGCTATGTCTCACAGCTGATCCACAGCTGATTTATCACACTGAACTCCCTATTTCTCCACTTCGTATTTGCATTCTGCTCTGGAATCTTCTGGAAAAATTGGTGGTAGGGCTTCGAAAATATGCTTTCACAAATCTTCTAGAGAGTCGCCAAATTGGCGAGAAATCTCCAAACATTGCAAAAGTCATTTAGGAACGAAATTCTTGTATCTCGCCTTCTAATTGAGCTACTTTTACAATTCCAGAGTCGTTAAAATTAAGAGCTCTAAAATTTTATGCAAAAATAAATACTTAAAAATAAGACATGTGGCCAAAGCTTACATTAAACGCAAAGCAAGCCATAAAATTACCATTCTAAAAAATAAATAATTAGAATAAATAAATGCAACAATATAAAAATACAATTAAAAAACGATATGACAATATATCCTGTGAAGATTCAGGCATGACTCCCATTTTTTTTTCGAATAATTTCCTTAGCAAAAAAAAAAAAAAAAAAAAAAAAAAAACTTGAGTACAGTTTAAAAATGTTCGTTTTATTTTTTATTATAACATTTTTCGAGCTAAGGAATTCGGCTTATGAGGAAATGTTAGCAACAGTTTTTAATATATTTTTTTGCTGAAAATATTCAATTTAATTTATAAAATTTTAAATAATTTAATTTCAAATGATCGATTTTTTATTCCATTTATGAATACTATCTTCCAAAAATTAAATAAAGTGATACTTTATTTATGATTCATGATAATTAATAACTTTAATTAGATCATGTTTCCGGAAGTATTATTAAACTATTATCAAATACTAATGAGAATACGAGATTTCTGAAGGATTACTACATCTGGAACATGGTAGAAAGCTAAGATGAAAGCATTTTTCTTAAAAAAGCACTCCAGCAATTTAAACCAACTCCTCTAACAGCTTCTTTATACTAACACAGGTACACTAATGTTACATGCCCTTTAAATTATTTGGAAATCGATTAGATCTCCAAAGAAAAACAAAGTCATAATTTTGAAAATAAGCTTTTACGTTTATAAATAATAAATTCTGCCTTTGATACACAAGTCATTTGAATGAAATGTACAAACGCAAATATTGTTAAACTTTAAAAATATCATTTTTCACCAGTCTATTAAATAAGACAAGTACGGTCTTTGTTCATGTTTTCAAATTCATCAGATTGCCAATAACAGCGCAATAACTGATCATTCTTAGATGGTAACAGAAACGAACTCCGTCAGTGATATAGTTTATTTTCATTTATCATTACTTCCTTACCTCGTTTATATCGTTTTCGCGTAAATAAGATAAAAATATGTTAACACTAAATAACGAATCTACCATTTTACACAAGTTTTTCATGTTGGGATAATATACGACTCTATGAGTTGGAGATAATGACTGTCGACATCCAATACCAGATAGGAAGAAAAGGAGTGCTGAAAAGCCTATACACCAAAACAAAAAACGTAGACGGCTTTCTAAAATGTCGCTTTTCGTTGCAACAATTCCGTACCTTCTGATAGAATGGCAATAAACATGTCTTTTCATCATAACAGTCTCGTATATGTTCCAGCCTAGTACAATAAAGATGACTAAAATCATATGAAAATACAAGATATGCTAAATATTTTTATACATTCCCATTTAACACAAATCATTTGATTCAAAAGTTTTGTTGCGGCCTAATTGCTTGCTGTATTAATGGTGTTTGCTACGAAATGTAAGGTCTGTTATAGCTAACACGTTATTTTTATGTTAATTTGTTTTTCAATTTTTTACGCCAGTATTTATCATAATGCTAGTTAGGTGGAATTCAAGTAGTGAGAGAGTATGTAATTCAGAACAGAACTTTGATTAATGCGCCAGAAAGCAGTTTCTTTCATGTACCATCCACCTGTATGTCGATCCGATTTTAGTGAATAGATTAAATACTAGATATGGCATTTATTTGTTGTATTGTATGGACTTAAGTGTCAGTATTTCTGTCACCGCTCAAATAAAGGTGGCATTGTTAAATTTTAATTGCACTGTAAGATATAGTTAGTTTAGTTGAGTTTTATGTTTTGTCTGCATTTTTAGAATTCTAAACTTTTAATTAAGTGCAAAGACGAAACATCCTCAGAAACACAGAATGTATAAAACTTGTTACGTTTATGATCACGATTCACGCTTCTATTTTATTCACAAGTTGGGAGAGCATCATTTTAATACTTCAAGAATATATTAGTATATCAAGAGTCAATATACCATTAATGAAAGTTTATGTACATTATTTACATTATTTAAAACACAAAATTCACGTATAATATACATTTCCCCATCATAGGGCCCCATCATAGGATTAGTTTATCAAGAACAATTATTATAATTGTTGATTACCGTTATGCGGCCAAGAACAGATCATTTCAAGCATCGAACTCAAGCTAAACTAAAAGAGTTATTACATTCTTTCCTCTGCCGCCAGTCACGTGACCTAGTCGGCGACAGACGATAAATAATAAAAGAAAATTTGGTTCCATCGGAGGGAAAAAGAAATAATTTCAACACAGAAGATTGAAGAGTGTGTAAATTAATAATTAATTAGATTTAAACTTAGAGAAGAATAAATATTTTATTAACATTTTTCATGCATTTTCATATTTCTGCTTATAGAAACAAAGCGAGCAGCTTCTGAGTAATTTCTTTAGTTTGATAATATTTGTTATAATTTAAAATGTACTTTTTTCCTTTTATGCAGCGTGAGTTTGAAGAAAAGGCGGAATTCAATAATTAATTAATTATTATTATCATAGTAGATTACTAAAAGATTTTGAATTCAAACTCCAGTAATATACGAAAGCTTCAACGTAAACTGTGTTTTAAAAAATTTCTAACAACGAAAGTTGATAATTTTTTCTTTTCATTCTAACCAAGCACAGTTCTGGATTCGTCTATTTCTTCAAACTGGTAATTAAACTGCTTTTAGTATCTTTCATCTAGTGTCAATCTCCCTGTTCTAAATCTCAAATTTCCACATTTCAGGAATTATTTGTAAAACAACATGTTCAAGAAGAAGCCTAAAGAAATACCAGAACTGAAACCGAATGAAAAAGTGAGATCTAATTTTTCGTTTTCTTTTATTTTTCTGTAAAAACACATTAGTAATACTTGTTTCTTGTGAGATTCAGCAGTTTAATGAAATCCAATTATTAGACCGAAATAATTTCACATAAATCATTGTTAGTTATTGACATACAGATTAAATTACTTATATGCTCTTAATAGCTCAGACTGATAATAGGCTTTAAGATTCTGATTTAGTTTGGATTTCGGATCTAGAAATTCTCAATCTGTAAATGGATCTACGAATATTGAGGCTTTTTGAAATGTCTTGGTGAAATGTCATTTTTTATTCTTCAACGGATGCAACACCTGCTTTCTCTTAACTGTGTCTATTAACCATGGGAGTGTATACGAGCCAGTTTCCCTTAGAAAGTCCTCCACGAAAGGCATCCCTCCCTTTAGGCAGATAGCCCTCGAGGCTTTGCCATAATCACATACACATACACACACTTAACCATGGATAGACATGCTCTAAATGTACAGTTCTCTTCATTTTAAAATCAACTAAATCAACTTACACGTCTAGCTATTTAGCTATCTTTCTTCGTGGAGTATTTGCGATTCTTTGTTTTGAGATTAATTCCTTCATTCTGAAGGTACAGCTATGAATTTCTAGTATAATAATTATTCTTTCCTAATGTCGTATATATTAACCTACGACGGCATTAACATTACTTACATCTTTTATGAATTTATTAATGAATAAAAAGTAAAACATTTCATTTATTCAACTATTAAATTATTTAATTTTATGATTTATTTCATGAAATTAAAAGATTAAAATATATTTTATTATTTATTCAGTTATTTAATTTAATAAATGAACAAAGAATAAATACTAATAAATTAATGATTTCAGGTGACTCGTACTGTGGTAACAGAGACAGTCGAAAAAACAGGTGGGGTACAAACAACTAGAACTACAATCACATGCAGCGAAGCTAATTTAGATTCAGCTTTCAAAAGACTAAATCTCGATCCTGAAAAGTTTCACTCTGGTGGAACACAAGTCACCAAAAGGATAGTCTACACCAACAGTTCTGGAGCTAAAGAAGTGCTAGAAGAAACGGTTGAAGACTATGAATGATCCCGACAAATTAAAAAGTGCCCAGGCTAAAAAAGAAGAGGACAAATCCTTTCTAAAGAAGCTGGGTTTGAGTGGCAGCAAATCTTCAGCTACACCAACGAAGACTTCTACCCCAGCTGGAAATTCCACAAAAAATGAGAATAAAGCACATACAGTAGTCGCAAAGCCAGGGAAATTCGAAGACGAATGTTTACGAGCTCATAATGAGTACAGAGCTAAACATGGTGTGCCAAGTTTAACACTTTCCAAAGAGGTAAGAATATCTCTAATGCATTTTGAATTTAAAAAAATATTATGAGCATTAGAATTATAAAGACAAAATGAACCTTCGATTGGTAATAATTTTAAGAGAGCTTTTTGACAACGTAAGTAATGGGTCTCCCTTTTCTAAAAAGTAAAAAAGCATTTTGAATATATGCATTGTCATTGAATCTATGTGTGCAGTCTGACACCTAAATATTTAAGTTAGTCTTTCCGTGACAGAAATGCATCAATGAAACTAAAAACGTTGAACGAGTTAGATAATTCGGCTAATCTTTGGAATATGGTAACAGGTAGTTTGGCGACATTTTGGTAAGGCGATAAAGGTTACTAGCTAGGACTTTAGCAGTGTACATGGATAAAGTCAAAAGCGTGAGCAATGCCATTTTTGTACAATTCTGGAATGTTTTTTTAAGTGAAAATAGGTCGACGTGTACATGGATGATACCGTGTATGTGCAATTCTTAGAAACGCGGCAAGCAGTGGGTGATTCTGCACTTTCTCCCAATTTCGCTCCTAATCTTCGTCATGATTAGGCATTTTTGCTCCATAAAAGTTCTAGTATAAGCGTAATTCGGCTAGCAGATTGTTGGAAAAAAATTTTGATTAAAAAAAAAAATGCCTTTACTTCGTGAAAACAAAATGGCTTCCAAAACAAAACTAGCAGTTGCTGTAGCAGGGTTGGTCGCCAAATTTTCGCCAAAAAATCACCAAGTTACCATAATTCAAAGATTAACCGATAATTCAAGACATTTATGTGTAATTATCATATAATATTTAAATATATTTACATCACTCAAAATTCATTAATTGTTATTCACTTTTCCCAAAATTTCACGTACTAGCCGCTTAACATAGTAATTATAAATGTATAATGATTTTGATGAATCCAATTATTGCAATTTCACTAGGTCCAGCTAATATGATTTCATAAAGATATTTAATGATTTTTATAAAACTAAAATACTACTTTTTATTACACTAATTTAATCAATTTCTAGCCTAATTGTTAGACCAGAGGTTCTCGATCTTATTTTTTTGCCTCATGTACCTGTTTCACCATTGCTAGACGATCATTCTCCCCTTCCGTTCCAAAACTTGAAAAACATATATAAATTTACTTAAATTTGTATTATAATGCGTTTTATAAATTAAACAAGGAAACATTTAGAAATTTCGATAAATACCAAAGCTTGAATAAAAGTTTTTTTTTTTTTTTTTTTTTTTTAAATATTCATAAACTAAAAGTAAATACAAATAAAAGGCTGACCGCCTTACCTCCCCTGACCCCCCCCCGGAATTCTCCCTAAATTGCCCTCCCCCAAGGGTAGAATTCCTGCCTGGTTGAAAACCCCTGTTTTAACCAATAAAACTTATATATTGAGTTGTAGTAAATACTACAACTCATTATACAACTTATTCAACATGTCCAGCCACTTTTAATTTCACTTCCAAAAAAGCCGGGAAATGACGAAGAAAGTTTCAAAGCATTTTATTTTTCAGTGTGCTAAAGCATCTCCAATTTTAAGAATTAAATATGGAATCTGAAATGTGGATTAATTTATTTTCTTTCCTTAAAAACTTTCTCAAATATTATATTTATTATTATTATTATGGTATGCTATTTTATTTTTCAGTAAATGTCAACTATTTCATTTTATTTTGGTTCTGCTGTTATTGCTGAATTTGATGATAAGGATAACAATTGTCAACTTGTAGTAATCATCATGTATATTATTAGAAAGTCCTCCACGAAGGCATCCCTCCCCTTAGGCAGATAGCCCTAGTGTGCTTTGCCATAATTAAAATAAACCAAACCAAAACCATCATATATATTATTTCTGTAATACAATTCCTATTTTATTTCTGCCTATGCAATAAAGCTTAGCAAATCTTTTTCAGAGAAGCCCCCTTCCCCCACCAAAAAAAAAAAAAAAAAAAAAAAAAAAAAAAAAAAAATGCAACAAAGCATTTCAGTTTAATCTCCGTGAATGGGAGGCTTTAAGAGAATTTAACTCTAAACCTTAGGTAAAACACTTCTGAAAGTTCTATTAGAAACTCCTCAATGATCAACTGATATTCGGGTGTGAAAGAAGAAGAAAATAATGTTTGACTGTATCTGGAATAAATTGTGCCGCATGATTAAATTTACTTGTCATACTGTATATGTATTTCTATGATATTTTGTGATAACAGTTTTTTAATTTAATTTTTTATTTTAAAATTGTTTTCGTTTGTGTACCATTATTCGTATTTTCTGTTTTTGTAAAAAGTAAAATATTTATTTAAAATTTCATATTTCTTTTTTTAATGAAGTGTGATGTCTTAATTAACATTTTTGTAGCTTATTGCCAAACAAAAATGTAATTTGCAGTCTTAACCTCTTATTTCTACTGAACTGTTTTTGTATGTATGTATCGTCTACTCAATTATATACGAAGTATTTAGAAATGCTAATTATCAGTGACAAAATAATAAATATATAGTAATAATTATCACTTTATTCTTCTCCATTATAATACTTTATATTTTGATGCAGTGATAATTTTTTATTTAATTTCCTCGATTTTTAATAAGCTTTTAAACAAATAAATCTTTAACTCTGAAAGCAAATAACAAAAATTTGCATAAATTAAAACTATCCTATTAAATTTCAGATTTATTTCATTTGCGCCTTGGGTGTGTGTGTGTGTGTGTTTTTTTTTTTTTTTCTTCTGAATGAGGTGCTATATTTTACAGTAGAAAATCACGTAAAAAATAATTGGAAGAAAAGTATTCCATTTTCGTAAAAAAGAATTATTTACGTAATTTCGCTTAATAGTAATTATCTATTGGCTAATTCATAAAAATACCGCAACATCCTAAAGCTATAAATAGTCAAAGAAAGATATTAACATAAGTGAAATTCAGTTTTTACTCGTTTTCCTCAATAATCATTTTGGTTACAGCTTCTCAAAATAAAATCTCAAATCTTAATACCACTTACTGGTAATTATTATAACCAGTAAGCATAATTGGAAGTAAACTTCTTCCTTTTCCAAAGAGAAAATAATTGATGCAATTAACCTTAAATATAATTTTCTATTGACTAATTTATAAAAACACCGAAACATCTTGAATTTATGAACAATAAAAAGGAGACATTAATTTTAAACTTTCATTTAATTATCTCAAGGATTATTATAGTTACATCTTTTCAAAATCAATTATCAAGTCTCGGATCTTAATTCGGCAAAACCAATTGAGTAAACAATAAAATGAAATATACTATGAACAATAAAAAAAGGCATTAATTTAACTAAATTATTTCAAGGACAATTATAGTTACAACTTCTCAAAACTAATTATTAAGTCTCGGATCTTAGTAATTGGTAAAACTAATGGAAAATTATATAAGTCTACTTTTAGGATTAGATTATTTAGACTTATTTACCTTTCAGAGAAAAGAATTTTTAACGTAATTTTGTTTAACAGTAATTATTGAATGGCTAATTGAAAAAAACGTATCGAAACATTTTGAATTTAGGACTGAGAACAAAAAACGAGACATAAATGTAATTGAAACCCTATCTTACACCCATTTTATTCAAATATTATTGTAATTATCACTTCTCTAAATAAAGTATCAAAACTTAAGTGCAGTAAATTTACCAATGAATTTATTGGTTGGTTGAAATAAGATATCATAAAGTCAGAACAATATTTGTAAATCAGAAACTTTTCAAGGGAAATTTAGAAAAAAATTAAAAAGTTTGTGTGCAAACTATAGCTTCCATTAGAAGGAAATTATGAAAAAGCACCATAATAAATCTTAGTTAATATGGTGTTATGCATGTTGAACTGAACAAAATGTCAACATTTTAGTATAATTTAAAATTACGAAGAAAAGCAATTTTAGACTGGATTTAGACTGGTGTAGACTTTTAACGAAAACTTTGCCGATTTTGAGGGCAATCAGACATAGATCCCTCTTTTTCAGGAGCAAAAACAATTCTGTAAATCTGTTTGTCCTCTTTATCGAAATGTACACTAATCTTAAGTTGTTTTTTGGTCTAAATATTAAATTTTAATTAGCGTATATCTATTCCAAATAGAATTCAGTATTCAATTTGATAAATGGAAAAAAGCATAAATTTTTTAAGAATTTGTTTAATCTCGTTTTCCTTTCGAAAAGGTAATAAAAAATGTTTTTCATCTATATAGATTTGCTCTTATGCCAAAGAATGGGCAGATCACCTTGCAGCAACGGATCGTTTCGAACACAGGAGAGAAAGAAAATACGGAGAGAATATTTTTATGAAATGGAGCTCAGACCCCAACCACGTAGTGGCAGGTAGCCAACTCTTCCTTCTAAGTTGTGATCATGCCAAAAATATAAAAGGAATATTGCTGAATGTTTGATGATAATGTCACTGAACGACCACTTTGAAAGATATATCAAAACAGTTCTCTTTTATTTATGTTGGCTAAGAACGAATTCAAGGACACCTCTATTATTCTTGCATTTTTACTATTTTTTAGATAATTTCTTGTTTTAGTGCCGCATTTTCTTCTCTGTATATACGATTCTCACCGACCGTTAGCGTAAACACATAAAGAGAGAAACATGTTGCGAACTGTCTTAAAAGTTGCCAGCGAAGCAAGGGATGAAGTTGACAGCTTATAGCTAACAGCAAAACGAAACTTATTTACAATATTGCTTTGCGTATTTGCCATTGCTTTGTAATATATATGGAAGTAAATGTTCTTCGTAGATAAATAAACCCTGCTAATACATCTTAATATTGTTCCCTTAATTACATTTCTGTTACATTCTTCTAATTGGCGTGTGTCCTGAATCATTCCATTGGCCTTCAAGTGCCATAGGTAAAATGTAAGTTTTCCTCAGAAACTCGATTATTTAATATAAGTTGCTACTGAAAGAATATTTTCGTTCACAATCACTGATAAAATATTTAATGGTTTTCCTTTTGCAATAATAAAAAATATTCCGCGATTAAATCCAGCACAACTATCTTGTCATCATTCCATTTTATCCTTTCTCCAGCTATAAAATTGCCTGTATTCTTAAACATTTCAGTTTTAATGTCTTTTTCTCACCTGTCAGTAATCTGGTTATTCGGTTCTTACTTAAATATCTCATCTCTAATTTTCAATTTTTAAAGAATTTATAGTCTATCTTGTCAGTGTAGTTTCGCACATATCGGTTAAACTAAAACAGTTTGTATATTTTTCCTCAAATTAACATGAATTCTGTCTTCGGAAAGGAGACATTACTTCATTACTTTAACGTCACTACGTTTTGATCTGACTGAGTAGTCGGAAGCGTTAAATAAATATCTTAAGTTTTATATTCATTACCACAGCAGATCCTGGCAATCATTTAAATTTTCCATTAATAATAGTCCAAAAATTGTCTAAACCAGTTAACAATGATGTTTCTAAATTTCAGAAATAAATACTCGACCATCTGAATATTCATCTGTTTACAATATTTGCTAATTTCTTTAGCAGGGTCATTAATTACCGCTTGCTTTTATTTGTGTGTGTGTGTGAGCTTCTGAACCAAGAACAAAAGTAGTTGAGACAATTCTGACCAGTCACTTTCCCAACTTTAATTTACGAGACATCACTTTATTAATAAAATTTCTTTCACGGTCAATGTCGAATACACATTTTTACTTCCTACGCTAACTGAGTTTACGAAAGAGCAATTGTCTGTAAATCTGTATCGCAATCCTCACCAGAAATGAATAATTTGCATCGCTGATGTCGTCCGCCTTAATATTGTTCATTTCATTCACAGATAAACATTTTGTGGCTGTTCCCTGTTCACAAACGTAATGTCTGTGTTTTCCTCTACATTCCGTACACCATGTGCCATCACGACAAAATCTAGAATCATGAGATTTTTTTCAAACATTTAAAGCACCAGCCAAGACATAGTAAACTAGCTTTTTCTCCATTTACAGATAAAGGACATTTAACGATGTCATGTTTATCTACAGAACCAAATATATACAAGAATTCTTAATTGTATCATTTAATGCAGCTGTTCTCCGTATACGTTTAGAATTATCATATTTCTTGCGCTACGAATCTTGTATTTTATCGACTTAGTCTATCCTGCGAAATAAAAATGTTTTTTTCTGGAGGGGGACGTGTTTCGATTTTTTTAAAAGTTAGGTCAAGTTATTTAAATATGGCACAGTACGTGAGGGTTATCTTCTTAAAAAGAGGGATGCCTTCGTGGTGGATGTTTTAAGGGAAACTGTCTCGTGTTCACGTTACACATCGGAAAAAACCACAAAAACCAGCCATGCAGCCAGTCATTCGCTTCAATTCAAACCCAGGTTGAACTACAAGTGTTCAGCGGCTACTGGTGAATACTGGTAGTTCAACCTGAGTTAATTTTTAAAATGGGTTAAAAAATTAACCCATGTCCAACTACATTACTCTTTTTAGAAATTGGGTTAATTTTGAGCAGTTCTACAATTTTTCTTTCTTAGCTAAAAGAGTATATTCCAGTACGATAGCTTCAGGAAATAATTTTATTAATATTGCAAAAAGAATACCACCGTAATTTCTCAGTTATAATTTGGCTGTTTTGAGACTCCGGCGGCTTCGAGACGAACGTGAATAGTAATGGTATCATGTAAATGTTTCAATTTTATGTAATGTTTATTTTCATGGATTGCGCCTTCAAACTGTACTCTAAACACCTTTCAGTTTTCACAATCCCTTCTTCCGAAATCCTAGAGGAATCACTAAATGCATCAATACTTTCATTTTGCTATTTATGTTTAAAGTTCGTATCTATTTTCGATTTGGAATTCGTAATCCTTTCATAGTGTTCCTGGCTTGTCAGAACACGAGCTTTGAACACTTCTAAACGATCTATAATGTTTTCTATTTTAGAATCTATCTGAAAGACACGATTAACTTTCTCTTCTCTCTAAAAACATTCCTTCTTTTTAGGCATGGCCAGATCATTCAAAAATTGTAGCTTTTGCAAATGATGTAGCTTTTATTACAAGTGGCCGTACCAGAAACATTTTACAGAATAATTGCAACGAAACACTCCAGTTATTTAACGAACTTTGCGAAACTCAAAAACTACAAATTTCACATAGTAAGTCCCAGGTTTTAGAGATCCATAAACCAGGGGAAAATATAACTAAAGCTTTAGCTCTAAAAATTGACAATCAAAAGATCAAATCTGTGAAAACAATCAAGTACCTAGGTTTAACAATCTACAAGAAATTCTCTTGAATTTTCATCTACAAAATATTAAACTTCGTACAACATCAATAGCTAACTGCCTACGACGTATGCATGGATATAACTGGGGCTTAAATCCCCATATAACACGTATTCTTCTAAAAACAGTCATTTTAAAAAAGGTAAAGTACGGAGCCGGAATTTGGGCACAACCAATGACAGTGAGAAAGATCAAATATTTAAATTCAATTCAAAGGCCTTTCACTCTTTGCATTACTCGGGCGTATCGCACAACTTATAGCAAATATCGCACAACTTATATTAAAGGCGCATCGCACAACTTATAGCAACTCAAAATATAGCACTTGATACTTTAGCTGGTACTCTTCCATTATCAATCAGTGCAGAAATGGAAAGCGCCTATATAAAAGTCCTTCAACTTAACCAAGCCGCAGAATTCAACAACCAAACCTTTTGGCCATCCAACTATGAAAAGAAATTAACCCCAATCCAGCGCTTCGCTTCAGCAAAATAATATTCCCCACGTCTGAAGAAAATTCAAGTTCATCTTCAATTGCTTATACTGATGGATCAAAAATTGAAGGAAAAGTTGGTTCCGCAGTCTTTTTTCAAATTACCCCCTGAAATATCATCAAATGAAAAGGCCATCTCCATAATAATAATAGTGCTTTCCAAGCGGAATTGTCAGCTATAAAAGCAGCGATTGAAATAGCCATTCTCAAAAATCTCAACGAATTTAGCATAAAATCTCACTCCCAAGCAGCTATTCTAGCTGTTAAGAATCCCTTACCTTCCTCTCCGTTGATATCTGACATAAATTCTCTTCTTGGCAAAATTTCAAACTACAAAATTCACATTTCATGGATCAAAGGACAAAGTGGCCATTTTGGTAATGATCAGGCAGATTAACTAGCCAAAGAAGCAGCTATTAATCAAGATGGTACTGAAATCATCATTCCGTGGCCTGGCTCAAATTTCAAGTACCAACTAAAACAACTTGCTTCAAAATCTTGGCAAGATTTGGGGAACAATGCTCCACAGAGAAGACGCACATATAACTTGATCCCCAATGTAAGCTTCGCATTTCTGTACTCGAATCCTTCACTAAATTACTTTATAACAGGAAATGGACCCTTCCCCACATATTTCTACGCAAGAAATTTGGCAAATTCTGATATCTGTATATGTGGGGAACAGGAAACTCCTGATCATTACACTTTCTCGTGCCCCTTAACTGAGGATATTCACATAAAATCCCCAAGAACTGATCTCCTGGCATTCCAAAGGCTTTTAATTAAAGATAAACATCAGTATCCAAAGTTTCAGAAAATTATGCAACGACTCTCTTCCTACGGCCTAGATATCTGTCAAGTGTAAGTCCACGTACTGCTTAGTGAAATTTTACATGCTGCGATTATGGATAAAATGGCTCCCCTCGTGAACTTTATAAACTGCAGTAAACCAATATATCTGAAATAACCCATGGACACCCACCTCTTTAGCATTATTATTACAATTCATTTTAACATTGTGTTGCCAGTACTAATTATAATTATCTCATTATGATTATTAATTATGTTTATCTCTTATTTTTGTTGCACCAAATCAGATGTTCAATTTATCTTGTGAATCTCAAATTGTATTCCGACTATTTTGTAATCTACTTATGTCCTACATCATTATTTTAATTAAATACTAGATGCAGGGCGTACTGTGGGATTCCACGATGTACCATAATAGGCAAACTCTAGACCTTTTGGAAAGCTTCAGTCTATGCAAATTCTTATAAAACTTGCAATTCAATCCCCGCCCTTTTTTTTCAAAGAGTTAGTATGGGAATTCATTACCAGTTGACCTATGGTACATCGCTGGTGTCCCCCATACTTTTACCTTTACCTTTACCTTCTTTTTAGGCAGACAGCCTTGCGAGCTTTGTTGTAATTGATTGAATAAAGTATTGGACTATTTACTGCCTTTTTACTAAAATAAAACTGAATGTAGTAAATGCATGTAAACGTCTCTGAATAAATAAGGTGATACTGTAATTAAATTTAACGGGAAAGAGATTAGTTACGTTTCGAGAGGAAGTATAGCTCTTCCCTTTCAGCAGTAAATATTTTCTGTTTCGAAAATTATGAAGATACCATTGGTATTATGACATTCAGATACGTCATCTTTACACAGAAAAGCACACCACACTTTTGTATGTGGAAACACTGAAAATACTTTGGCTATATGAAGTAGGAAAATACTAAAGTATTAAAAAAGGAATATTTCAAAACACATATGCAGGTGTACAGAAGAACAAAAGTGGCACCATCTGGTGGTAATCTATAGAAACATTTCGTGCAAGACAAAACTTTTTACCATGACTCTTTAAATTTAACACACACACACACACACACAAAAAAAAAAAAAAAAAAAAAAAAAAAAATTGTTGGATCATCATATCAAATATCTGTCAAGTCATTTTTATAATAAGAAGAATATGTTAGGAAATAATGAGTAGTAAAGATCTAATCTATGTGAATAAAATGCTGAATTAGTGATGCATACCACGCAATATATCTATTTATGATTGATCTGGTACTGAAATAAAAGTTCTATTTTTCCTTTTCAGGTAATGAAGCTGTAGACAGCTGGTATAGTGAGATAAAAGATCATACATTTGGTGTAGAGCCTCGGAGTCTTAAATCAGGTATCCATATATTTTACTTATTTTATGACATACGTGACTAGCAACAAATCCAGAGTATTTATTTTCAAAAACTGAAAACTGATAGCTGATTGACAATTCACTCTATGATATATAAGATATGGACATATATGATATATAAGATATGAGCCATAATATATTAGATATAGACATAACTTTCCGCTGGTTGCTTATGCGCTTGGAGAAGTTACATCCATTAGGTCGGAAAAAATGGGAAAATAACAATATTAAATGCTATGAATTGGATGTAAAAGAAATAAAAGTGTTTATGCAGGAAACGAACTATGTCTTTATCGGCAGTAAATAAGTAAACAGAGAAGCAGAGATCTGAAATAAATCGAGAATATTACTTCTGTATTATTTTCTGAGGAGAAAAAAAAACAAAAACATCAAACAAGAAAAAAAGCATTTTCTATCTTTATCTTTTAGAATGGATTTTAAAGATAGAAAAGTTTTTAACATTTCATAATGGTTTAACATTCACAGTTTTTAACATTCACAGTGGTTTTTAACATTCTATAATTAAACCTGAATTTGATACTCGTATATGTGGAAAGCTATTTGATATCTATTCATTTTCATTTTCTAAAGATGTTTTCTTTGCCTTTTACTTGAAATTAAGAAACACGTTATTAATTTCATCTCCAAGCGGAAATAAGAAGAAAGTATTTTTTAATTTTTTTATCATCTAATATATCTTCATCATTTTCAGGTCATTTTACGCAAGTGATATGGAAAGAAAGCAAGCACATGGGTGTTGCTTGGGCAAGAAGCAAAAGTGGAAAAATTCTCGTCGTTGCCAATTATGATCCAGCAGGAAACTTTATTGGAAAGTTTTCCGAGAATGTTCCGCCACCAAAAAAATAATTTTTACGGTTAGCATAGCTTTGCTTAATTTTCATACTCATTTCAGATTATAATCAATGTTTTCCCCCTCTTATTTAATCACAGGACTTATAGACATTTCTTAATTTTAAAAAAGCAAATTAAGTTTGTCATGGCGTTACATATGAACATTGGCTATTACGGTATTTTTATTTGTATGTACCTTGGTCACTCAAGCCACAAATGTAGCATTAAAAATGCTTGAAAAAAAAAAAGACCAGCATGAAAGAAGATGTATTTCGAAAATATAATTTTTAAAAAACTTCTCATTACAGAACTTTATTAAAATTAGAATCTTACGATTGAATGCATGACATCCAGTATGTGAATACTTCTGAATACGCTTCTGTTTTTCCCTTATTTTTATCATGGTGGTGTAGCTACAATCAAACTTTCATTAAGGAACAGATCCTGAATCCTCAGACCCTCGAATCAGGAAACCAGTACACTCCTATTAAGTGGATACTCCTGATAAGGGACGGAAGTCTTTGTGCCGTGAGTGTCCTCTAACGAGAGACTGTAATTTAAAATTTATTTCGCATGTTTAAGTTTAAAAATATGTAGTGGTGTTATTGTTATCCTTTTGTGGAAGAATCAAATGATATAGGAAAAGAAATTAGACTTCGGGTAAAATCTTGTTCAAACACCTCGATGTCCCCTTTATAAGATATCAATTTTATAGCGTAGTTGTTGAATTCAGTCTGTGATAAATGAATTTATGTCGCAAAGGTAAGACAGATATAACTGAAAAGTAAAGAAGGGTTGTATAAGATCTCAGACCACATTCCACTTATTACCAAATATATTATTCATCAATTAAAATATTTATGACTAATTACCATTTATTACTTCTGCTAACTCAGGATGCTTATTTTTCAATAGTTTTAATTTTGGTAATTCTTTTGAAATGTTTCGCACGGTCATTGAATCGACAAAATCCTAGTTCTTTTCTTGAACTAGCAGTCAGTACCTGATAACAATTAATCTATTTTATTATTGTTATTGTCATTTAACTTCAAATGTTTATATTCTGCTCTTAATCTGTAGAAACAACAACACCCCAAAATTTATTTGTAATAAATCATATTTTTCTTAATAAATTTAAATAAAGAAAATGGTGATAAATTTTGCTATAAAGAATTCATACTCTTAGTTCTAGCATTTCCTTATTAAAGCTTTGGTGACATTCAAGATTTTCCACAAGTACCATACTTCTTTGATTTTTATTCAAATGTAGGTATTGTCTTCGAAGTTTTTTTGAAGGATATTCGTTTACTGTGTTGTTCAATGATTTATATTTTAACATATGTTTCTTTGCTAAAACGAGACATCAGTGTTAAGATATCTTTAGCACCAGTGCTTTCATAAAATGTTTTATCTTATAATTTCTATATTAGCAATTTTCCATCCGTGTGATAATAGCGGTTGATTAAAAAACGGGTCAAGGTTTTAGTAATATGAAAAAATATTTCTACAGGTAAATTAATTTATACTACTGCAAAGCACACAATAGTTTATATTTCTTATAAAGGATGATTCTATGAATAGTTTTAAGAAAGTATGATTGGTATGCTGCAGGTAGTTAAATCCACTTAAACAACCTGCAGTCGGATCGTTCCGAAAAACTTGCTTGGCGCTCTCTGAACTTAAAGACGTCTTGCATGCGCATTGTTATAAAATTTTTTACACACTATAACATAAGTTGCTTTATTTTGAAGATTCAGGTACTTTTTTCACAAAATTGTACCATGTTCATTTTGGTAAATATGGAAAAGCTCCTTGTTTTCATTTACACTTTTTATTTCAAAATACGAGTAGGACTTTTATATACATGTGCAAGTATTGCTTTATCAAATGAAATTTCTATGAAATTGCTCATTCAAAATAAACTTTGCTGATATCAGAAATGCATTTTGCTTTTTTAAAACAAGTTTTAATAGCAAATTTACTTAAAATGAAGTACACATTCCTTTAAAAGGCTAATTATTTATTTATAACAACATTTTTAAGCATACTTTGAATAAAGCTACATGTTTAATTCTATATTTTAATATTATATGCTTGCAGTGCACAAATATATCTATATCATCATTAATTTTATACATGAAGACTACTATTTGTAATATTTATATTTAATAATATTTTAATTAATGTGTTATATTCAAAAGAAATTTTAACGACTTTGACCAATATTGCTCCTTTTTTCTAACCATTTATTATGGCTATAGTGTACAAACTTTTATTCTTCTTGTTTGTGATGCCTTTTTATAACAAAATTTTCAAAACTAATTGTTTTTTTTACAAAAGTTCCTATAATTAACTCGCTTTTGACGAGGTGATATTTAAAAATGTTTTTGAGTGAGCAGATTGTTTAGAAAGAGAATCTAATAAAGTCAAATAAAATATCTTTTGTATGATTATTTATGAAATGTGAAGCTGTAATTATGTAATGTAAGAAGAAGTATGAAATGTTAAGCCATAATAACGCTTTTGGGCGATAATGTTCTTTCCAGCTTATGTATAATAAAAATTAAATAATTATTCATTCCCATCTCCTTGGCTGTTGTATAAGAACAATAAAATATGTTAATAAAATTTAATTTATTCAACGTCTGTTTTTTTTCCTTTCTGTTTTCTGTAGCAGAATATTTTCATTTAAAAATAACGCATCTTATTTTAAAGCGAAATACGTTTCTTTTAAAGATTAGGGCCCACCAGCGGCCGAGCGGTAAAGTCGTTGAACACTGGGTAATCGGTCGAGGTTCGAATCCCGCGAACTGGCTGGCTGCATGGGTGTTTTCGTGGTTTTCCCCATGTGTAACGTGTATACGAGCCAGTTTCCCTTAGAAAGTCCTCCACGAAAGGCACCCCTCCCTTTAGGCAGATAGCCCTAGTGTGCTTTGCCATAATTAAATACACCACACTCTTTTAAAGATTAGCCAATAAGTTTCGTGTTCGTTACATTTACAGTAATAATTTTAACACGGGGGGAAGTCAAACTTCATGAAGAGATCGCGTGAAAAATTGGCTAAACTTTCGCGGCTTTAAAACTAACAATTTCACAGGGAAGAATTCGTATTAATATTTCGGATATTACGGACAGATGCTAAAGGATGTGTAACAAAAACGAAGCAACAACGTAAATAACACGCATGTGACTAAATATACATATACATATACAAATAAACTATTATACACTTTCTATTTAAAATTTACATTTATAAGCGAATGATTTAAAGAAAAGCATTCAACGTCATAATTTTAGATCAACCTTACCGTTTAATTTCAAAGCATTGTTATGCATTATATTGCATGTACACTGCGCAAGGAGAAAAATTGAGACAGTTCTATATCTTCCTTTCAACTGCGCTGATTGACGAAATTCAACCTGCGTTTTTCATGTCTTGAAAGCGCCATTTAAGATATGTATTAGATTTATATATAGCATTGTTCTAATACAGGTATTTTGACACAAAATCAAACGTTTTCTGAAATAGCACTCCAATTTTTTTCGGTATTTCGATTCTACGACTCAAATTATGCCAAACTGCCAAGTTTTGTAAAACTCGCACGAGTAGTTTTTAAACAATTAGCTCTCGAAATTTTAGCTCCTCAATGTTAATTGAATTTGATATATATTAGTAATATCTCTTTTTTATTAAACTTATTTGATTCTTCCTTTCATATTTCGAAAGTTAGATTCATCCAATAAAATTCGCTAATTTTTTATGATTTATTTTTTAAAATTTGATTTTTAAATAATTTTTATAAAATTTTCGAAAAAAACTTTGAATTAAACCTATAAAATTTTTGCCGTCTTCTTAAAGTAGATGTATTTCTGAGCATACCTGCAAAAAATTAGTTTTTTATTCAAAATTTCCTAAGATATAGGTGAATTTACATTTTGGCGTATTTATTATGAGCGATAATAACGAAAATGTAGTTTACTCACTTTATAAAAATTATTTGAAAGTATAAATGATGACTTCTCCGCTCGTGCAGAAAGAAAGCCGAAAGAAAATAGGTTGCTATAAATTACGAAATTCGCCAAGTGGCGAAACTGAAAAAAACGCGCCAACATAAATTCCAAGCTAATTTCGTTTCCAGTTAAGATTTTCTAAAATTATGATTTTCCTACTTGCGTGCATGATTTATCCGAACTAGTTAGTCAATATTTCCAGAAGTCTTATCAAAATTTGTAATATTATATTTCTGACAGAGAGAAAGAACTTTTATAATTATACTAAATTTTAAGTCATACAAAAATTTCCACTCAAGCCTTTTCATTGCATCTAATATAATTATGATGAATACGTAAACAATATTGTTCAAATGCAATATTAGGCATGCCTAACTGATCTCACTGAACTCAACTGATTTCAAACCAAACTAAATTTTTCTGCTTGCGAGGATGATTTCTTTGCAATTACTGTTAAAATTTCCAGAAATTTTGATCAATCATATAAAACTCCATATGGAAATAAAATGGCAGCTTTTAGCATTAAAATATTACACATTACGTTTAATTTTACATTAAAAACATTATATAACATTTTCTCAAAAAATAAAATTCTTTACTTTTAGTTCTCAAAGTAAGAAATTTTATTTTTTGAGAAAATATTATTCTATTGTTTTTAAAGTAGATCATTTTAACCATGTATTACTTTTCTAATTAAACAAAATCTGATGTGTATACCACATGACTTCCTTATACGGAATAATAAACTAAGTAATAAACTAAACGCATTTTTTCCTTCGTTTCATTTAAACTTATTTCATTCATCAATAATTGCATAAAATTGAAAGTTAACTTTTGGTCATATTGGGCAAAAACAGACTGAAGTTGGTGGACCAATTGACTAAACGTTCATTATCCTACTAACAGTTTTAAATGTAAATAAATGGCAGCCTCGTTAGGCTTAGCAACCCTTAAACTTTTAAACTGTCGATAATTCTACAACTATTACATGTAGATT